TATTTTTCTCATTCGTGGACCTTAATGCAATGAGTGGTTGTAACTGAGGAGCCTTCACGAAATTTATGGTGCCATTAAATTTTACAGCGATAACCATCTTCAAGGTATAGGAGAGGTAGGCGTCGACGTCCGACTCTTTCAGTGATCTTTTAACCTTGTGTACATGGGCCTTATTCTTAGAGTATATCGTGTTCCCTGTAGATGACAAAAGTGCCTTTACTCCCCATCGCAGTGTACCGAAACAAGCTATCGGTGTACACTTGTTGCACCCATAGAAATCACCAGAGAAAGTGATCGAATAAAGATAGAACAACCTTCTTCTAGGGGTGTCGCAGCATTAGTAAGGGTATATGCGACAGTGAACATTTTCATTCAGATGACTTTTTACTTCCAAAAGCCATAGTGCACCTGATATCCCTTGCTATTAAAGCCAGGTAAATGTCAGGGCGGGAGATTCGAACTTTAAGGAAGAGATAAGGTTCTAAGTCATGACAGTGGCCTTCGCGTGACATATAATAACCAGCGTGATCCATCCAGATGAAACTAGCACCGTCCTTTTGAAGGTAACTTCAAGCAAGCAGTACCGGTGCCTCTATACGGAGATCCGCTTGGGTGCTATGGGCTTGCACGTACTGCGAGGTTGCATCAAGTGTTTTACCTCTCGCCACTGCTTGCGGTATTCGTCGTAGTCCGAGGTATACTTCTGAGACAATAGAGCCGCCATAGATTCAGGTTGATCGCTCAGTTCCTTCTAAAGGTGGGAAAAAGACTATACAACTAAGAAAGTTGCAAACATAGGAACCCAAGAAGGGAAAGCGCAGTGCCAAATATCTTGCCACTTAAATTACTTTTACTTACCAAATCCGGAAATGCCAAACCCGAGTACTCGGTCTGCAGCATAGATAGAGGACAAATTCTAATCCGAAATCGACAGTAACCCCAAGACTGTCTTTCATCATTCCTTCTATTCTCGAAAACGACGTGCCGAATACATACACAGTTAACCTGTTTCCCTTTTCAGATCTCGAAAGATGTCCAGGCTACTGCAGATTATTCTATCCATAAAAATAAGCTTACTACCTCTTAGCTCACCTATATTCTGGTATGGTCGGCAGTTCGGCTGTCGAGAACTACTGAATCCAGTGCTGTCCCGCGGGGTGTTCCCAGCAATGGCTTGCATGTGAAGTTCTTTATAGTGAAACAGCCATTCACTGCATCTACCTCACAATCTCCTACGCCTCCTCTACCCATTTTGTAAAGATAACATTCAAAGATAAGACGACCAGAAGTAGGCCAGGGCGTAGTGGCCGACAAAGTAAGGCAGCCCGTATGTACGTGAAACGCACGGCCCGGTTACTAACTGCACACGTGCCAGGCTACCCTTTGGGCGGGGAAAGCGATCTCACTTTGATGAGAATGCCATAAAAATCACATTGCGCGGGGGTCATTGCATCTTGATCCTGAGTCTGGAGTTACAATGTCAGGCGATAACCTCCCAAGTTACGATGAACATCATGTCGTATCCATCGTAACGAAGAATATGTGGTGACGCAATCAGCGTAGACGATAATCGCGCGAAGGCTCACGTTGCCTGCGAGTGCACATGTACTGGCCGCCTACGCCCGTCTGTCTAGCCAATCACCTGTAAAGGCAGACCCACACAAAGGTTGCTCCAGAAACTCTGGCAATTCCCGCGGTCACCTCATTTCTGACGTGGCAGTGTGGCCGGCGGTTGCTCGCTCGTCTGACAGTCAAATTCCTCCTGCCTATTCTCAACTTACTTCTGTACAGGATAAACTGTTCCTTCAATTCTGGCCTCCCATGAGTTCTTTTCGCCAAAGGAACCCGGCCTGAAGATCGCAGTTGCTAGGGTTTAACTTACTTAACCCCCTGCGATAAATACGCCACTTTTCCATGAGAAGAAGATTCGATCGCTGGGACAACATTGTTATTCGCCTGACGTTTCGATCTCCTTCGCGGATTCTTTATCAGAGACAGAAGCAGAAAGCAGTAGCAGAAGCGAATAAAACTTGCACGTGAAGTTGCAGTATTTATAGGACACAGTCATTACTACACACATACGAAAAAGAAAGACCATTAATGAGAATTGGCCTCTTGTGTGTTGATGGCTTGATTACCAGCGTGTGGGCCTTGACTTGCTCAAATTTCACCACGCGTAGTGGAATTGGACGTGATGATTGCTCGGCCATTTGGTTTCCCGGTGTTGGCGTAAGACGACGTGGTGGCCTGTGCGTTCCCCAAGTGGCGACTCGATTTGGCCAAGTTGAGCCTCAGCACCTTCTATAAATACTGAGACTTCCTGTGCATGCATCACCCGTTTCTGCTTCTATTTTCTGTTCATGTCTCTGATGAAGAATTCGCGACGGAGGTCGAAACGTCAGGCGGGTAAAAAGTGTTGTTCCAGCGATCGAAGCTTCTGGTTATCAACATAAAGAATT